TCTAGCCGACTTGTTGACGGTGTTCCTTGTATGGGCGGTGTTGCACCTCCACACAGGTTAATATCGCTAATTATTTTTGCTGACAAGTCCAGCTAGGTCATCCGTAGCTCCTCGGTTTTGTCTGGATCTACCTCCTTCAGGTATCCAGCCTCCAGGCGCTTGAGATCGATCAGGGGGTAGTGAGCACGTACCATGCTTAGTACATGTGTGCCTGTGTACTCTCCCGCCTCCTTCACAAACTCCTGGAACCATCCCCATGTCCTTTGGCATCTCTCGATCAATCCCAGATGTGGCATCTTTGGTATATCCTCTGCTAGCGCCGGATCGATGAGGTTAAGGACCGGCAAAATGCCCTTTGCCACCTCCTGGCACCGGTTTCTCCAGGTGTCACGGTCCTTGGTGATCTCTTGGCTTTGCGCCTTCTAGCGTCACGGTCTCTCATCATGGCCTCTAGATGTTTCTTTGCATTGATTTTTATAACTGCAAACCGCATATGCCGTTAAGACGTTAGACCACGCCAAACTACAGCGACAACAAAAATGAGCAAAGGCGGTTGGACAACTTACCTTTTAGCTCCTCTGTCATCTTGGTCGTATGGTCCCGGAGCTGCGACTGGTCTTGCGCCAGTTTTCTGTTGTTCTCGTTTAAGCGATCATACTCCCCGACCACCGACTGTTCTCCTCTCGAGAGACGGATCACTTCAGCTTCTAAGCCCGCACACTACAATCACACTACCAATAATGCAATAGCACTTGTCAGTAGTCGGTATGATCAAGTGGCTACTTACTTGTTCTTTCCCGCTCTTTCTTACTGAGCTGGATGATCAGGTTCTGGTTCTGGGAATCTTGCACCGTCTTTTCACGATCGGCGGCTTCAAGTCACTGGCGCAAGCAGTCCACTTCCGCCGTCAGCTCCTTGTTGTTTGCAATGATCCCATCGATCTGGTCGAAGCATTTCTTGCAGTACCTTGCGGTCTTCATTAAGTCCTATGTGCAGATAGCTAAGTAAGACAACTACGACTACACCGCTCGACCAGGGGGTGAAGCGAAGATTACCTACACTTTCGTAACAAGCCGCTTCGTCGCCCGTTCAACTTTCTTGGTTTCTTCGACCTCCGGGATTTCCTCATGGATAACCCATTGGTCGTTTCGCCAATGCGACACATACACATGTTGTCGCTTGTCTTGTGGATGGCCCATGACCTCCTCCACCTCATCCTCTTCGGGCTCTTCTTTGAGTACTGGTGCTGGCCCGACGTCAGCAGCATCTGTGATCAACACAGCCTTCCCACAAGCTGCAGCGTCGGTGAAGGTGGTCTGTCCTCTCACCTCCGGCCACTGCTCTTTGGTTTGCTCTGTTACCCTCGACGCTGAGGTGTTGCCCTCAGCAGGTTTAGTGCTCCGGAGCACTCGTGCCTAGCTCAGCTGGTTCCTCGATCACCCACTCGGGGACTGTAGTCTGACTGCTCGCTTGCTAAGGTCACGACGGATCTTCTACTATGGCTTTCTCGGTGGTCGACTGCTGGGTAGCCTGCTCGGTACTTATTGGCGGCGCCACGCCACTTCCGGCTAGCTGGTCCGGACTTTCTGTGGACACTGAGCTAGTACATCCGGGATAAGTTCAGAAAGAAATCATATTAAATGCAAATTGCTAACTTATATCAAGGTTACAAATACTTACATGTTAGAAGCACGGAATGATGTGGAGAAGGCGCGTCTCTTCGGCTATACTTGCTCCACGTGCTGCGCGGATGACCCCTGGTCTCCCTCTCCATCCAGCACTGTTGCTGGGTCTTGGTGCTCGACCCCTCCGCCACTTGTCCTTCGCGTTGTAGTGGTCGGTGGCATTGTCGCTCCTGTCGCCGGTCGCGTTCCTTGCCTAGGTACTCCCAAGGTCGACCCGGCTCCATCCTTCACCGCCGTCGGCGATGTGGGTCCCACAGGCGCGGAGGATCCATCTTGCTCTATTGACTCTAGTTGCTTCCTCCTTTTTCGAGGGGCAAGTTACAAGGTGTCTGTGTCTTCTTCCTCCTCTACGTTATCGTCCGGCCAAGCAAAAATCGCCTGTCGACGCTTGCTGGCCGGGTTCTCCTCTGGGTCCTCCTCGGGCTCATTGATACTTAGCGCTCCTCCGGTGAGCAGGGTGGTCACTGATCTCTTCTTCGAGAGTTTGGGGGCAGCCGACCGCTTACCAGCAGCTTTGGCCACTGCCTCCTCTCCCGCTCCGAGCACCGCCCAGTCGACGTCATCGTCCTCGATCTCAACGCTGGTCTAGGTGGTGGGATCAGTTCCTTGTGGGATGGCGACACAAACACTGTCGCTCTATCCCGACCATTAACCTGGGTAACAAAAGGGAGTGAACACAATAAGTTTCCACTTATCCTACCACAAACATTGTCGCTCAATCTGGCATAATTTGGGTCGGCTAAGTTAAATAGCTCACCAATTCTGGCTTTGATTTTGATTTTTCAAGCGCCCCCTGCCTCGTCCTCGTCGGGTCCGCGCTCCCTTGATACTCATAGCCAGGATGTACCCTCCTCTGGCAGGGTTGGATCCGTCGGCTGATGAAGCTTCCGACCACGCTCGGACCATCCAGTTTTTTCCATGGGATCATTCCAAATAATTCTGGAATCTATTCCAGGTGCTTGGGTTTCTCTGTCCAGCTTGTCCTCTTCTCTGGAATATAGCCCACGTCGCACAGCGTTATCGTGTTTGGCTCTTCACGGATGTAGAACCATTTCTTGTACCAGTCATCGAGCGATGTGTTCCATGGGCAGTGCAGGTACTGGGCTTTCATGCCGTCATGGAGGTTGAGGTACACACCCCCGGCTATCTTTGAACCACCGCTTCCTTTCTTCCACAGACATAGAAAAGATGGCGGAAAAAATCAAAATGAGGTTGGAAGCCGCCATATGCTTCGCAGAGATGTATAAAAGTGGCGACAAGGAGGATCGAGTTGGGATGCAGATTGCAAATCCCAATCTCGTAGTAAAGATAGAGCCCCTAAAGAAACGGATGTACCGGAACCCCAAATCCCCGTTTAAAGAAATCCTCGAACACCACGATTTCACCTGGTTGTGGATCGGGGTACCCCTCGCCTTTCGGCGCACACCATCCTGCGAGCTCCTTGTTGTGGAGTACCCCCATGGTGACGAGGTCTTCAATGGTCTGCTCGTTGCTTTTTGATTTCCACCATTCCTTCGCCATTACCCCTGCTTTCTTCTACGCATCACTTTTTGCCATGACTCCGGCCTTGCTGGTGAACGGGGAAATGATGGCGGATTGATTGGTGGTGATTTCGGATGTATTAGGGTTGGCGAGAGGAAGAAGAAAGCTGCGGTTGCGAATGGCAATGGGGTTCAGTAAATAGTAACTTACCTATCCTATGCTGTATTTAACCCAAGAGTTATACAGTTTCGTCTGCCCAGGATTCTTGGGAGACGTGCGCATGCGTCGCAGACGGTTGTTTTCATAGCCTCGAGATCTACGCCAATATATGCGCCTTTTCGTTGCCAGTGTGGGAGGGCCCACGCTGACGCACCTACTGACAGGTGCCACGCAACTGTTTGCTTGACAAGACAAAATGGCAGTATGACGTGCTGTACCCATCTACTTTTTTGACCAGACGTGTCAGATTGGACTTGACAGAACAAGTAAATAAATAAATACATAAAATAATAGTATAAGTGGCATATGGTTTTTTGCTACACTTTTTGTGCTCGGGGACTGTCGTGACTATTCTCGTGCTCGGGGACTGTCCAGACCACCATCGTGCTCGGAAACTATCCAGACCACTCTCATGCTCGGGGACTGTCCAGACCACTCTTCGACTATTGCTCGGAGACCATTCTCCTCGGCTACATGTGATTTGTACTCACATATAGTTGAGAGACATTTATTTTTTCTCACTTAGACCTTGCTACAAGGCTGATATCTCGCCTTCCATCAAGCTCGGGGACTATATCGGTACGATGTGCCTGCCGGTGCATCTTGTATCGCTTGTACGACGATTAGATTTTCAACTTAATTGGGAATTCTTTTTAGACCCTGGCACCACGTGCCTGTGTCACCTACTACCAGGCTCGGGGACTAAGTGGGCATACTTCACCTTGCGGTGAATGTGCTTATTTTATCGACCCCTACGCTCTGACTGTTGGCCATAACTGCTACTGTACAAGGGTCACTTACATTTCTTTTCAGAAATACAAGTGGGCACACTTTATCAAGAAAGAAATCTTTTTTCTTTTTTATTTAGAGCACCATGCATTATTCGGACAACCAGAATCTTCGGCTAAAATCGTGGTCTACTGCTCTCTGTTCTGACCAGAATACTTGCACATTCGCTTGGTCAATGTTTCAACCAGTTGGAGATGACATGGAGACGGATCGCATTAGCCGAAGGAGATCGAACGGCGTGTCACAGCATAATACATGGAGCTCGGGGACTAGCTGTGGGGGTATTAACCCCTATATCCTTACGGCTAGGATTGGGCCGGCCCGGATTAGGGGGTCTGGCCCACTAGAAGATGACGCACGGCTCGACCAATCTGCTTGGAGTTCCGCGCAAGGAATCAAGGCAGATTTGGAGATCAAGCAAGATCTTGGTCGGTTAGAATATGGATCCTTATCCGGCCACCTATGGCAATTGTAACTGGTTAGGATTAGCTTCCAGATCTGTAACCCTGCTCCCCAGATTATATAAGGCGGGCAGGGGACCCATCTCAAAACATCTCTCATTGACATACAAGAATACAATCAGATGCAGGATGTAGGTATTACGCCTTCACGGCGGTCGAACCTGGATAAACCTCGTGTCTGTCTTACGTCACCATCTTGTTTGTAGCTTGCGCATCTGTCTGCCGATAATCTACTACCTTGGGCATACCCCTAGGTAGACTGTCGATCATATTTCGTCGATAGTGGCCATGGTGGACATCAGTGAGTGCTCGCCCGTGCCCGAGTCCGTGCCGGCGCACCCGGACCCCGCGTCCGTGTCCCCGGATGCGTGGCGGCGCTTCGAGACCGCCGTGCTCGCCGTGGTCAACAAGATCCAGCCCACCTCCGCCTCTGAGGAACTCCGCGCTTGCCTGCGCGCGACCATGGTGGCTCAGGGATGCTGCTAAAGCTATTCCTAGGGCTCATGCTGCTCGGTGTGAGCGGAGGGCGCGAGGGATGGGCCGGATCTGTGCGGCGGCGGCGGCAGCGGCTCGCGCGTGCGCCTGCGGCGGCGGCGGCTGCTGCTCACCCACGCGCCTGCGAGAGCATGGCAAGCAGCCAACGACAGCGCATGCTCGGGTTAGTAGGACACGCTCGTGCAAGCACGACAAGCAGCGAGCGGCTACAGCGGGCGGCGGGTTAGCGAGCAGGAGTCGCGGCCCATGGCTGCTGGCGTCGGGGAGAGGCCTGCCCGGAGCTCGCGTGTCGGCCATGACCTGGACGGAGCTCCCACGTGGGAGGTCGGGCTGGAGGTTGAAGGAGCCTCTGACGTGTGGGATCCATATGTCAATAAGTGGAGGGAGAGAAGGAGTAGGGGTGCTTTGGTCCATACGAAAGATATGTACATATATATATATATATATATATATATATATATATATATATATATATATATATAGATAGTGGATCAAACACTTCAAAGATGTAGAAAATGGTAAGTATCAGGTAGAAAAAGAATTATAACGATAAGTTTTAGAATAGATGAATTGTAATGACATATGTTTGAGTTAAAGAATTATAATGGCGTGATCAAATAACCCAAAAATCAAATGCCTCCCCGTCGTCGTCGTCCCCACGCAGCCGGTCCGCCTCCCGCTCACGGCAGCACCTCGTAGGCGCCGTCCTCGGCCACCACCCCCTCCCCCCTCGTACTGGTCTGCAGAGGACTGGAGATCCATCCATCCATACTTTGCATTGATTCTTCTTTTGGTAAGGAAACCTAATCTGCTCCGACTATAAGAGGAGTGAGTTCTGAGCAATTATTCCGAAATCTTCCTTCCTCTCCTCCATTAATCCATTCATCAGTGGCCCGTTTACCTTCCTGAGTGGTGGCGTCTTAATCCGATGCAACATGTATGGTTGGGTCCAATTGATTTCTTCTTCGTCTTTTTTTTTCTCCTAATGATTGAACTTCTTCATCCGCGCGCAAGAGCCACCTCAGTCGATGCCATAGGGATTGGGACATAAGGTGTGGGTTCGAAGTTTGTTTTCGAAGAGATTGGGATTCAACTGAATCTCCGCGCCACCCTGCAGTAAGCCTGTTCCTATTGCGTCACAACCGTCGCAATGCTTGAGGTGATCATGGCATTCTCTGATTCCTTCTTACGCATTGTGGTGTTCAGCTCAAAATGAAAGGCGTACTTCAGATTAAGGGGGCATCAGGGCGTGAAAAGAAGGCTCCTAAGGAACTCGAGAGCGTCTTAAACCGATATTTTGGATATTCGGAATTTCGCGGAAAACAACTCGAAGCTATAGAAGCTGTTCTATCAGGTCTGCTCGCTTACTGTGCTTGTGTGTCCTTATATTTGTATTGGCTAGCACTTGTGTTGCTGAGATGTTTTCAACATTGTGGGTTTTGTTTAATATGTTAAACAATTTATCTGCAGGAAGAGATTGCTTTTGTTTGATGCCAACTGGTGGTGGAAAGTCGATGTGCTATCAGATTCCAGCTCTGGTGAAGACAGGCATTGTTCTTGTCATTTCACCCTTGATAGGTGAACTGATCCGTATATTTTCCATAATGTGATAGCGTTTATTACTTGGAAGTTTATACTAACAGTTCCTTGATTTGATTGAACAATCTGCTAACCAGCACTAATGGTAAGATTTATTAGCCATAGATCTCGTTTTCCTGTTACTCTTTTAATGTCATGGAACATCATGTGCTCTGCATATGAAATTTACAGGAGAACCAGGTTGCCAGCTTGAAAAATAAAGGGATTCCAGCTGAATTTCTCTCTTCCACACAGGCATCTCACACTAAACAAAGGGTAAGGTCTCTGCTCTGCTGGGATAGCTCAAATTGATGTGCCAATTTTGGACCCTCCTGTAATCATTCCAACTGACATCATAACCTCAAGTTGTACACGGCTGATACTCTGAGATTTGGAATTTTTACTTTTGTTTCTGCACTGACCACTGTCTCTAGTAGCGAAATATGAATAGCTCTTCTTTTTGGAATTTACAATTTTATCGTATGTATGCTCTCTCTCCTCAGATACATGAAGACCTTGATACTGGCAATCCTTCTTTAAAGTTGCTATATGTCACTCCTGAGCTTGTTGCAACATCAGGCTTTACGGCAAAGCTAAAGAAGCTCTACAACAGAGGTCTTCTTGGTCTTGTTGCTATTGATGAGGTCTGAATTAAGCAATGCCTTAACACTTTGTTATTCTTTGATCTGTTATAAATGGCATTTGTTGCTTATTTCTGTCACTTATTTCGTACAGGCTCACTGTATTTCGACTTGGGGCCATGATTTCAGGTATGCAGTGATTTGTATGTGTTTTGTGAATACTTACTGTCAATCTTAAAATTAGCAAAGTGCTGTTTTCATGAACGCAGACCTAGTTACCGCAAGCTTTCATCATTGAGGAAGCAGTTCCCGGATATCCCTTTGTTAGCTTTAACTGCAACTGCTGTCCCGATGTAATGCAACCTGCCAACCTCATGTTTTATCTCTTTACCTTTTCCTTTCAAAGTTATTGTGGTCTCATTTGCTCATTCTTTTCCTACACCAGGGTCCAGAAAGATGTGATATCATCACTGTGCCTGCAAAATCCAGTAATTCTTAGAGCTTCATTTAATCGACCCAATATATTCTATGAAGGTAGCTTTTCCATTTTATTGATAATTTATTTGCCTGGCGGTGCAAGAACTTGTCAACATGTCAACATGAAGGTAGCACTTAGCATCAAGACCCTATCCATTAGTATTCCACATAAGAAATCCATTATAGAAACTAATACAATTGTTGTGCCCATATAGATTAGGGTGCATTATTTTCTAAATTTCGACACTGTTATATATTTACTTTCTATAGGCCTTCAAATAATGACTCATTGTCGATTAAAATATTCATCTGCCTCTATGTTCTGTTCTCCCTTAATGTATGAATTATGTTATGAACTAATTGCAGTTCGTTACAAGGATCTTCTTGATGATGTTTACTCTGATATATCAAATTTACTGAAGTCAAGCGGAAATGTCTGCTCAATTATATATTGTCTTGAACGGGCAGCTTGTGATGATCTAAGCATGCATTTGTCACAGCATGGTGTCTCTTCTGCTGGTATGCCGATTAAAGTCATAATTAGCAGTTAATGACTTCCAAGTTGTAGCAAGATTGTTGCACTGGAATTCCTCTGATGTTTCTATGTTCATCTCCTTAATAGCTTATCATGCTGGCCTAAATAGCAAAGTGCGAAGTTCTGTTCTCGATGACTGGCTTTCATCCAGAACTCAAGTTGTTGTTGCAACTGTAGCCTTTGGGTATTGCTTCTCTTCAGTTCTTTTTACGCCATTTCAGTCATTTGTATGCTGATTCCTTGTTCACAAGTTTCAATTCTTAGAACTAATGTTTTTCCATATTTCATGTATATTTCTGCTTCGATATGGCACTTTGACTATTGGTTTGCGGATGCCGCTCCACAGGATGGTACAAATACTCCTGTTGCATTTTATCCTGTTCCTGTTTCTGCAGAAGTGCTTGTTCATATATTGTCCTTATTGTATTTTTCAGGGTATTGATAGACAAGATGTACGTATTGTATGCCACTTCAACTTGCCTAAGTCAATGGAATCCTTCTACCAGGAGTCAGGTCGAGCTGGTCGTGATCAACGACCTTCAAGAAGTGTTTTGTATTACGGATTAGATGACCGGAGGAGAATGGTAACTAGTTTTCAAACAATATATTTTACATTTTGAACAGTAGAACTGACATGTGTGGTTTGACAGGAATTCATTTTGAGAAACCCCAAAACTAACAAATCCCAGCCGTCTTCCTCTTCAAATGAGCTTTCTGAGAAGGCTCTAGCTGACTTCAGTCAGGTTCTTACTGTCAAAACATATATATTGGTCTACTGGGCCATGCAGTTGATTCAAGTCTATTATGTTGCCTCTCTTGATGCAGATTGTTGACTACTGTGAAAGTTCTAGCTGCCGGCGAAAAAAGATCATTGAGAGCTTTGGAGAGAGAGTATGAGAACAATCCTGAACTTGTCAATATGTTTTCTGCTTTATGTTACTGAATTATCTTTAAAATGGTTTAGGTTCAACCAACTTTATGCCAACGCTCATGCGATGCTTGCAAGCACCCAAACTTAGTGTCTTCACGTCTGGAGGAACTCCGTCGTGTGCCCAACTGTCGCTTTAATGAGATTTCCCCAGTGTTTCAAAGGTACTTGACAAGGCTTGGTTGTATTTTTTAGAATTTTATCTGCTTGATTGATGATTGTAAGTGGGTTTATCCTTTACACTGGCATTTTCTATGCATTGATTTTTTTTTTTGTCTGCATGACAGCTCAGTTAAACCAGCACACTTGGACACAGAATTCTGGAATCGGGAAGATGAGGCAAGCATATCGGCTGAAGACATCTCAGATTCTGATGGTAGAATAGTAGAACATTACTCTTTTCATTTCATATTAAGAAGATACCTCTGGTTGTTATTTGGAGGACTGGAGCGCACTAATATATGCAGTTCTTTATGGCAGATGGGAATGAGGTTGTGAGTAATATAGCCATTTCAAAGGTTCCAGCAAAAGCTGGTCTGGATGCAAAATTTAAAGCCCTGGAGCGTGCTGAAAATGCTTATTACCAAGGCAAAGGTCAGACCAAGCAGCAGGTGATTCAAATGCTGCCCCTTTGTTTTTGGTTATTGTTTGGAATCTCAAAACCTAAGTGACGTACGGGGTGGTTTTTGTATTTCTTCCATTAATGAAATACTAGTTTTCTATTTGAAAAAACCCTCCCCCTTGTTAGAGCTTTCATAACTTAATTACTAATTCTGATTTCAAATGATGACTATTACAGGGTGGTGGCCTTGCTGACAAGAAGAGCATCTCTCAGACGCTAAGAGATGCATGCCGGAAAAGATTGTTGGATGCTCTTGGACAAGCAAAGCTGCAACTTGGGAATATCCCGTAAGTCTGCTTCCAGTTTGACTCTGTTTGAAAGTGTGGTTTTGACCATAAGTCACTTTGCCCAAACTGCTAACTAAAGCATGAGATACATTGTGTTCTGAAGTTGTTTTTCTCATGCACCGTATGACTTGCAGAAAACCTTCGATTTTTACATACTTGTTTGTTGTTCCATGACTTGTCATGCTATCAGGTGCAACGACGAGGCTTCTGCTACACACCTTGAAACAGAGTGCTTCAAAAAATATGAGAAAGTGGGCAAGACGTTCTACAACTCACAGATTGCTGCCACAGTTCGGTGGCTGTCATCGGCAACATCCAGTCAGATGCACGACCGCCTCCATGCTCTTATCGACCAAACTAAAGATGATGGTACGTCAGGCTCCCCCGACATTGTCCCAGAGTCACCTCCAGCATATCCTAAAATCGTTGGCACAAGGCCAGGAGAAACCAGTAGCTATGAAGCCGACGACAAACCACAGCATATTTGTGAGTTGGAGAAGAGGGGGCATTCAGATGAGTCTGCAAAGTGTGCTGCGGCTTCGACTGGGAACATGGAGCTCCCCGCGATACCAACTGGGAACATGGTGCTCCCCGCGATACCAACGTTCAGAGAATTCTTGAGCCAAAAAGGAACGGATCAGGCAAAGAGCTATTCAAATTCCCAGCCATCTGGTATTCGTAGGAAGTCTAGTGGTCAGGTTGATAAGGAAGAAACCAGCAAGAGGATGAAATCATGAATGTCTGTTGGGCAACTTGATTTTTTTTTTATTTTGTTGTCTTTTCATCATTGATCAAACATTGCAAATTTACGTTGTAGTAAAGCATTCCTGAATCCCCATGACTTTTCTCTTTCCTCTATATCTAGCTTGTACAGTGAAAAGAGTGTTCTTAGCTTCTCGTACGGATGGAATGCATCAAGAAACACGGCACAATAGAGTTGTGGCAAACAGGGATAAATTTAAGCAAGTTAGACACACATGTCGGACCTAGCATCCTATTTGATCTGCTCTTACAATGGTCAATAACTACACCGGACTATCTGTATTGAACTCCTGTATCGAACTATGTAGTGTTGAGCCTATCACCCATAGGATCCGAGGAATCCTTCTCAAGCTCAGCGATCAGCTGCTCAATGTTTCTTCTGTATATAGGCATGTAATGATCATTGATCATCATTTTCGAAAGCCTCAGTTTGCCGTACAGAGATCTTGGTGCCAAGAAGATTCCCATGCTGCTATGTGACTCCCCATTCGTCGCATCGTCCTGTTGAACATCAGGCTCCTCTTCATGAGCTGCTGCTTCCCTGCTGGAGGTTAATATATGCATGATTTTTCCAGGAGGGTAGAACCTATGCACTTCCATGGTCTCACTGAGCACATCTTCAGCCACGCCACACACCTCCTCAGCAATTGTACTTTCAGTCATCTTCCACTATGTCATCATCTTCTCCCTCCATCTTCCGGTACAACTCACTTTCAAGTTGCTGCCACAGCTCCACATCAGTCATCCTGTCCTCGTCATGGTGATCGGCGATGTCATCATCGCTATCTACCTTGTCATCTACCAAGCCAATAGCATCGACCGCCACAGCAACGGAACTCTGAACCTCTTCTGGTACAGCTTCTGATGTAACTGTCTCTGAGGTTTCAACGGTTGTTTCAGTCAACAGCGAAGTCGATTCAGATCCACCGCTTGTAGATGTTCTTATTTCATCTGATGTGACAGTTGAAGTAGATGAAACATTATTTCGCCGTCTTAGCCCAATACAAGCCCATGAGGATAGTTGCAGTCCGGGTCTTGTCCATGCTGCCTGCGCTACACTGCGAGCTCTCCTCATTACAACCTGGCCATTAGAATATTATCACTGGAGTTCAAGGACAATGCAAATGTTTCAAACTAGAATACAACCAAGCTTCCTGAAGATGGTGTAACATATGAAGCTCTGAAGGTAACCTGCGTCCCAGTAGATACAGGTCTTAAGATGGCGCCAGCACCAGCTACTCTTGCTTTAGCATTTGCCATAGAAGGAAGTCGCGATCCCAAGGCTGATGCTGAACGATAAAAAGTGCTTAGGATTCTGGTTTGTTCAATTTGGTGACGGAGATCATTTAGCCAAGCAGATGCTGTAACCTGTTATAAAGGGATATTGTCATCATCTCATGTTCTTACAAAAGAAGTACAGTCAATGCACGTGCGCTAATAAATTTCTAGAAAAGAAAAGCTAATTATCATGCGGGATTAACAAAGTCAGGAATATCAGTAAGAAACCTCTGAACGAAGATCATCTACTGATGCAGCAGAAAATGTTGGAACTAATTTAGGATATAAAACGCACTCCTTACTCTGCCAGTTCCCATGTCATACATGCAGCTGCAAAACAGAGCATCGTCTAAGAAACACATATATTCCTTTAATATTTCTACATAGTTAAATGGAATTTAAGTTTTATCCAAGATTCTAGTATGATAAAAACATCAAATTTAGGATACAAAACTTATAACAGTTCCAATCATAATATTAGCTAAGGACTTATCTACAGCATACTTCTAACATTTGGATTTTATCAATAAAGTTACAGCACCAATCACAAGTTCAGAAGCAGTCTGTACTATCTAATATACCAACCTGCCCCTGTGAGTATGAAAACATGACACAAGCAAGCAAGTATATTAAAGGGGGCGTACCCAGTGTAGAGAGCTCCCGCTCTGTGTGGGGTCTGGGGAAGGGTGTCAGTGGCAAGCCTTACCCTCGCTTGTGCAATGCGAGGAGACCCCGACTCGAACCCGGTACCTTCCGGTCACAGGTGGTAAGACTCTACCGCTTGCACCAGACTCCGCCCTTCAAGCAAGCAAGTATATATGGTAACAAAAATGAGAAAATGCCAATTAAAATTAGAAAGAATGCACAGATCGTTTTCATGATTTGATCGAGAAATTAGTGTTCTAAAAGAAAAAACAAACATAGCATGTAAACCTGGAGCAAACGCCACACAAGTAGTAGAGGTAAACTCCTTCTGCTCCCTCAGGATGTATGTCAACAGAGCAGCTGTACCACCCCCCAGTGAATGTCCAACAACCTACATAGATTTGCCAATTGCCATGAGCACTCATTGATTGCAATAATCTGAAAGAGAAATGCAAACATAGTTATGATGCATTAAGTCCTAAAAAGGTTATGCTGTAGTGATGCTCATACTCTAGCATCAGAAAATAGAAAAGAGCTATGAAACAACTAATACCTTTATTTTGAAGTCTGGGTACATGTGCAATGCTTGTGCCAGACAAGGCCCTGAGAGCTTTGCAATCCACCTAACAGCTGCAACCATCCCAAAATGAGCATATCCTAGTACTAAGTCACTAACACCACCTTCCTGTACAATTGTATGGTGGAATGGAACCACAGCACCAGTGGCAGCTGCTAATGTATCTCTGATGCTATGAGTACCCCTAATTAATAGAAGTATGGTCTTTTGTCTCTATCAAGCAAAATGGTGAAAGCTGGCTTCAAAATCTGCAAGGAAACCACAGAAATTCCAGGATCAATGCAAAGTAGACACTATTCTTATGCTTAACTATTGGAATACAAAATCAGCAAAAAAAATGGCCATAATAAAACAACAGAAGTTTTCACTCACTCCTGCTTTAGGTTCTTGCATAAGAACATCCTCCGCGGTGTAGCCAGTCGCCTCCAAAAACAATGGGAATGGCTTTTTGGAGAAATGCCAGCAAAGTGTCAGCAAATTGAGAAGATACTTTAAGTCAGCAATCACTTCAGCTCCTTTGAGCTCCACACTATCATTTCCAGCGTATATGCTTGCTACAGATAAGTTTCCCTGGCACACATTTCACAAGCAGAACTATCAGAAAATTTGTAATAATTTGGCAATCACAGTGTGACCACTACACAAAAATCGGGAAGGGGTTTAAGAAGACTTTTTGAAGAAAAAAACGTTAACATTTGATGGATTACTTGGCAAAGAAAAATAGAATACATTATAAGAAATTAATCAGTTGGGTGGATATTCAAGAGAAGTAATTTAATTGGCTCTAATTCGTCCACACCTGTGAATCAGTCGGCATTTTGTACAAATTTTACGAACGAAAGTCTTTTTAGATGCAACTGGAAACCTTTTTTTTTGTAGAGGTGGTTTTTTTTGGTTCGCCTCTACTTGCCTTACAGAGGTGTAGAAATCCATCTCTAGATGCTGCCGAAACCCAACCTTCTCTAGAAATCAGTTTTTAGAATTTGTAAACTGAGCAAAAAAAAAAATTTCAAAATTATTAATCTTAAAATAGAATTTATGGGCCCAAAATGATTTCAAATGCAACTAAAAAGTTGCAGATCACTTCGAACTTTTATTTAGGTTGTTTCTCGAATTTGAAAATTTGAAAATATTGGATTTCTAATCACGAAAACTTAAAACAAAAGTTTTTGGCCTTAAATGATTTTAAATGGAAAAATCAACAACTACAAAGTTGTAGATTTCTTTGAGTAATACAGCTTTAATATAAAGTTTTTTTTCCATCCGACTTGATTTGAAGAAATTATAAGGTGGGCCAATTTGCCAACCGCCTATAAAAATCCATTTCTAGAGACAAATGTAATTTCAAGCCACCTCTTGAAATGCCTCTAGTTCTAGAGGCGGCTGAAAAAATTAGCCGCCTTTGAAAACAGTGAACATTTCTAGAGGCAGTCACCTCTAAAAATTGATTTCTAGAGATAGACCGACTCATAAGCCATTTTTAGAGATGGATTTTATAGAGCCAGCTCTATTTAAAAAAGGAGGTTTTCTGTAGTAGTATGTTTAACGCCAACATGATTCAGCGTTTCAAGGAAGAAGACTCTCTTCTATACTATTAATACAAGTCTAGGCAAAACTCATGTCAGCTTTACGTTCAAAAGATTCAGCGTTTCAAGGGATTTTTCTACATTTTTATATAAGTCTTATATCATCTTACGATAGGTTTCACACAAACGTCACTTTAAATGTTGTTATGTCCACAAGTCAAAAGCTCTTACATACTGTTTTTCTTATCATCTTCGCTTTTCTTTGTTTCAGTATCTGCGACAAGGTTAAATGGTTAGATCACCGGGAGGTGTGTGTGACTACGAAATGTAAGAGGGGCAGGGGCTCTACCGCTCTAGTGATGATTATTGATGGAGCTTAGATCGTCCTTGGTGCAAGGAGAGGGCTGCTGACGTGATGGCAAAACAAACTGTAGTTTTCTGATTGTTAATTTCAGAGTTTAGTGATATTAGGAATTAGGATAATGGACTTTGTTTTTATTTTGCTCAGTGGTACACATGGTATATCCAGGAGGAAGTGTTGTCTTGCTGGCTTGCTGCTGAACGGCGACCAGCTAGGCAGCTAGTATGGTCTACCAATCCACCACCTAGCGTCTGGCGATACAAACCGAATTTCATCACTAATTCACCACAAAAAGGTTATTTACGACGAATGACATTTCTACCATGACCAAAGTTGTTCGTCATGTATGTTTACATCCATATTAGTGTTTGGCCACACTGGTTTTTTGTTTAAACCTGTCTTGGCAATGACTATGTGAGAAGAATAAACTGGTTGTGCTTGAAATTAGGAGATTATATTATTAAATGTTCGTTCAGCGAGAGAAGTAATTGCTTGGTGCCCCGAAAGATGAATGAAGGCAGGAAAGGTGCCATGGTTTCCTGCTCGTTGCTACGGCTCCTCATCCCGGCACGAGAACGGCCGCTGAACAAAAGAACAACACTAGCAACTGAATTAGGCATGAATGTCAAGAAATGCCATGAATCATGAGGAAGCCAGGTCAGTCCTGGGAATCATGGCCCATACTGGTGTATTCAGTGTAGGCGGAATTGTGAGGGGCTATAGGAGGTCTGCTTCTGTCCTGGTGTCGAACTTTGCAAGCTTGTCACTCCACTGAACAAGTTGAAGCCTGGCCTGCCTACAAGGCTACAAGGACTGAAGCTTGTTGTTGAGTGGGTTCAGAAAGATTAGGAGAGAGTGCAATAGTATGCTTCATAGCTTGTTGCTCAGTGGACTGAAACTTACATCTGGCAGTAAAGTTCAGAAATTAAGATTAGGAAAGAGAGTGCAATCGTATATCTCGTGGGTTAGCCCAATTAGCAATACAAACGGCGCACTGCAACTCCCGTGCTGTTTTGGAGCGAGAGTAGCTGCTCCTCCTCTCTAGGCGAGCTCACTGCAACTGATTGTAACATATCTTTTATATTGTATAGTATATAAGATCTCTGTTCTGCCAAAAAAAATGCTAAATTTGATTCAGGCAAATCCTAGTAACAGCCGCCATTGAGTTCTCTTGTTCATATGCACTTTGGCCTAGAGCCACAAGGATTTAATTGTGATGCGATGTGCTCAGATCCTAATATCATTATTATATTGAATCTAATTCTAACAGAATCAAGAAAATCATGCATGCTGTTTGTTGGGAGATTTGGACTCATTACTGATTGGTATAGTCTGTGTCACCTGTCACATCACTTGTTGATGATGATTTTTTTGCAAATAAAAATAAGAATCGTCTCAGCTCCTTCCCTTCTCTCTGGATCTCTTGAGTCTATTTGGCTTACGCTGATTTATTACGAGAAAAAATACTATTTATTTATTAAAAGGTACGGTGATGAAGTATTCCGAGCGAACAGGGCTTGCAATCGTTTGAAATGTGCAGTTGTGTCCAACATAAAAGTTGCAGTGTTTGTTTCCTAGTGCTCGTGTTGATTCCTGGGTGGATTATCGGTGTTGCAGACTTGCAGTTGTGTCCGATCGAAAAAGGATGTACTTGTCGGAGCGAGTGGTCATTGTCTTTCCCATAAGGGCCTACTGTAGGAAACAAACACTGCAACTGCAAGTCAGTCGTGGCGACAAGTACCGGCCCTGATGATACTGCTCTGGTTTCAACAAGACAGTCGTGGCGACATGAGCCACAGGATCTTTGAAAGGAAAGATGCCAACCCATCAAGAAATGTCTCTGTTGTCGCCTCTCGGATCGGAGGGAGGAAGACGGTGGTGGCAACGTGTTTCATTTCAGATTTCACCCACATTATAGGGATATTTAAAGCTTTTCAAGTAGTAAGCAAGGCGGTCATGCGTAAGTCATAAACAATTAATAAAGAGTAAAAGAGAGCGAAATGGGGAGTAGTATATAGCTGATGAACTAACTAGCTTATTAGTTCTCTATAGACATATGGTGCATTATTGTGTAATGTGGTGTGGGCGTGTGGTGTATATACAAGCAAATAAAGCACCGAGTTAAACTATTTTAATATGTTCAAGAGTATAATGAATATAATACTTTGTTTTTTTGGGAAAAAAAGACTAAGGGGCCGTTAATTTGGTGTTTGGGTTTTCAAAACGCTCTCACAAATTCCTCCAAATTCATTCAGATTTTTCCAAGCGAACATGGCCTAAAAGGCTAACACTAAATTTCAAAAGAAATTTGTACTGTTGGTCCTCTGAAAAAGAAAAAAATTGCATTATTTTTTGTTCCTCCTCTGTATATATATTTCGCATCCATCCTGCCCCCGTGATTTCTTGATGAGTTTATCAGAAATACTACTATACTAGTAGATATAAAAATATTTCTATAACTATGCTACAAATAAAAACTTCATCATGTAAGTAATCAGTCAGGCGCATCGTACGACAATAAGAAAAAGAGAGCGCGTGCAGTACTGCACGGCGTACAATGCATCTGTTTCAAATATGCTATATAATTATTAATTAGTGTACGTATTATTGTAGGATAAGAAGGAAAAAAAGAGAACGTTCTTCTAGTACTATGTTGCGTGCGATGAATATGCAGGCAGAATGGCAAATAGAGAACTCCTTTTTTCTCTTTTAGAAAAAAAATTATCAATCAATAGAAACGTACGTATAGGAAATATGCATTATTATCAAGCAAATCTGAAACAAAGAGTTCTATTTCTTTTATTTGTTTGTGTACTCTTTCTGATTCTTGAGATCGATCCAGAAAGATGCCATACAGTACACATGGAGAGATGAACAAGATTTGGCGTGCTAATTGTTAGCAAAGAACACGGCAGACGAAGGAGATGGAGGAAAAGCGAGCAATAGAAAACGAGAGAGAGCGATCGAGAGAGATTGGCTCTATACAAGCAGACCTCCATACGGGCTCGCCGCATGCATGCAGCCGGCCAGCCGTGAGAGCTCATCAGAGGCCGACGGTGACGACCGGCGCGAACGCGGTGCCGAAGGCGCAGTTGGCGCCGGCGGTCGGCCCGCGGAGGGAGCTGATGACGGCGGTGCCCTCGAGGAGGTCGTTGATCGCCGTGGCGTAGTAGGCGCGCAGCCGCCGCAGCGTGCGCCTGTACAGCATGGCCAGCCACCGCATCCGGAGCCGCCGGATCGCGCCAAAGAGCCTCCTTTTTCCCCCGAGCCTCGCCACGGCCATCTTCTTCTTCTTATTCCTTGGCCCCGCCGCAGGCACCGGCGGCGACGCTCCACCCGCCGCTCTGGCCACCAGTCTCCGCGGCACCCGGAACATCATCGGCCGCCGCGGGGCGACGCGGGCCGCCGCAACGAGCTGCTGGTCGTCGTCCCCATCAGATCACTGCGTGCTCTCCCCTCTCTCCCGCTTGGCTGTGCTTGCCCTGCAGGCAAGGCAAGGAGGAGGTGGCTAGCTAGCTATCAGTTGAGAGCCAATGGACAATGGCATGTGATGGTAGGACCGTGATTTGTGCGGGAGTATGAGTAGTTTATAGGATACCGTTAATCACCTAAGCTTGCAGAGCATTGTTTATAGCGTGGGAGGCTCTGGGAGACCGGTGTGGATGCTGGATGCGTACTCTGCTCTCGGGAAATGGTAAGGTCAGAGAGGGCGTCGTGCTATATACTGCTGATAGCCTGCTATTACCAGCTCAATAAGCAAGAAATAAAACTAGGAAAGCACCTTGCTTAAAGATGCAGGACTCAGCTAGTTTTTTTTTTGCGAGAAATAAAGCTAGTAGTTTTGTTTCTTGTTACCAGTAAGTAGATAGGTAAAGAAGTGGGTTAATCTAAGATCAGGTTGTGGTCTACATGCACTGTGCACCGAACATTCAGCTTTCAGTTGTGCTGCTGCATGCTGCGTGTGGGAGAGGGATGTTCTGAGTGTATACGTTGACAGACAGCGACTGCTTGTGGAGCTATACAAAGTAAAATAAAACTCCACGCAAATGATAGTGCATGGATATCAATTAATTTTGGTTCAATCTCAGCCATTCCCAACTGCTTGATGGAGACATATCTGAACTCTGAAGTGGAAGGGCCAAGAGTGGTGAGCGATGTCTCCTCAGGTAGCCATTCGTTTTCGATAGAAACTCATACAAAGCTGCGTAGGAATAGGGTCAACAAGCCAGCTGAAACGTGATCCTGTTTTATCTGCGGATTATTGTCTTGGCACAGCATGACTTGAGGAGGATGCATGCATGGGAGTTAAAGAATGGGCAGCATGCGTCAGAGCTTACCTCGGTCGGTATCGGAATGCATGTTACTACAATGCAGCGCACACCAACTGTACATTAGCATGCTGACGATGCAATCATAGTACACGGCCGTTGTTGTTTATGGTATCAACCACTCGTCGAATCTCTAGGTCTAGAAGATCTAGAAGAGATATATATATATATATATATATATATATATATATATATATATATATATATATATATATATATATATATATATATATATATATATATATATATATATACTATATTTACATAGAATAACTTATTTTGTGGCCACTTTGAGTTACGATAATTACCATGCTAATTTATGAGATTACAAGAACTCCTTTACTAAGTGATTTACTATAACATTATCGTAAATATCACCGTGAGTTGTATCCTTTTTATCTGTAAATGCATATTCATATTATCGTAAATTAATACAAATATTATCGTGTCAAAGTGACTATAGAATAAGTTATTCATGATCAGCATAACTTATATATATATATCTTTGTTTTCTTTATATTACACCCAGATACATGCATGGTAGAGAATGCACCCAGACAAACCGACACAACTTACCCACTAATCATACGCGCCACACATCTCTACCCTCTCCCACGCCACCACCGCCCCACCGGGCAGCGAGGCAGGCACACAGCGAGCGTGCGAACGAGGGAGACATGGCCCACTCGCGGTCGGGATCGCGCGCAGCGGCGCCGTCTACCGCGGACGAGGCCTTCACCGACGCGGGGGCGGAGGACGTCGGCGACTCGAAGCTCTCTGTGCTCCTCTTCAGTACGATCACGTCCCCCCCTCCCAAAAAAACCCAAGGCTCTCGTCCTCTTGCTCGCTCCTCCGGTTTGCTCGGCGCGATCCCCATCCCCGCAGTCCCGCTTCTGCTTAGTTCATCGCGATGCTGGATTCGTTTGCTGCTCGGCTCGATGCGATTTTGGGACCCAGATTGGTGGTTGCTGATGCGGATTTTTTCAAGTTCATGCTTTCTTTGAGGAATGTTTGCTGCTGGGGTGTGGGGATTAATCCCCTGTGGCGTCGCGTTGCTTGATTTTGCACGAGCCTGTCCTCTGCGTAGAAGCGCGAGCAATTTGGTACCCATCCACTCGATTCTTCTCGAGTTCGTTCGTTTCCCCCATCGCGTTCCTATTTGATGCGCTGTTTGGGGTTATGCCATCTTCAATTTACTCGGCAAGTCCCATAAAAAATTACTCGGTAATATCTTAATTTCCGTCTCTAGATTTACTAAAAGCCAAGCGAATTTTTCTGTGGAGATCACCTCCGCTGTTCTGTAGATCACTTGTTAGATCCCAAATATTCGCACACTATGATTCGCATGTGCACACACGGCCACGGGTAGCCTGAACTGGTTATTTGCGAGCAAGCCAGCAGTGGAAACTTGCATCTGAATTGTTTGTTCGATTTGGTGCTGCTCAACTAGTCGAGTGGACGCGATTTGGACCGGTAATTTTTGAAATTTTGGTGCCGTTTTGTGCGGGATAACTCGATTTTGGGGTCGGAATCAAGCCCCGGGCGCGTGGCTTTGGGCTGTGGATTTGGACCAAGCCATTGGTTGCGTAGAATCGTGTCCCATTTTACAGAAATCCAAGCGAAATTCCATCTAGAAATCGCCTCTGTTGGGTTGATAGGTTGCTAAATTCTATGCACCCGCACTACTGAGTTACTACTGATGGTTCGCCCGTGTACACCTGAATTTGCTTGCAAACCAAGAAGAATTGCTGGCACCTATGCATTATTATTTGTGCTGCCAACTAACGCGTGCTTGAACTATTTTTGCGTTGCGCAAACGTGTCGCAGCAGGTGCAGAGCGGTCTCCAGAACATGCTCAAGATGAGCAAGTGAGCATCGGTCACACCAGTGCAATTGCACCGTGATTCTGGGTTTCTCGATTAATCCTTGCAAAAACCAATGTGCTCGTTCGGCCTGATTCTGACGCTGTTGTTCTGTACCCCTGTGACCGACAGCAGCGAGATCGAGCGTAGCGACGGCAAGATCCAGGCGGAGGTGGAGCACGTCAGGGACGCCGTGGCAGAGAAGGGCCGGGCGCTGGACGACGACCGGGAGAGGGTCCAGAAGGCCGCCCTCGCCGCGCTCGACATCCTCGGTGGCGGCCGTGGCGACGTCTGAATGGATGCGCGCGACAGACCAGACATAGTTCGTGCAAGATTCCACCTCCATCTGAGAATGTCGTCGCCAGTGTGCTGTTACTGTTATCCCTCGTAGTAGTCACAGACTGATGATGGTGGTGGTAGTAGTTTGGCTCCGTGCAGGTTAGGCTCTTGCTTGGTGGAATGGAAGGACTCTGTAGTTTTATGGTTGCCCCTTGCACTGCTGGAACAGAGGAGTTTTTTTATCTGGAACAGAGGCAACCAGTTAAGGGCCCCGGTTGCAACTGGCACCGGTTGCAATCAGATAAGTGTCCTTGTTGCAATTAGCTCTAGTTGCAACTGGCCCAGTGCTTTGGTTGTAATCAGTAAATGATCCCAATTGTAATTGGCTCTAGTTGCAATCAGTTGAGTGCGCCGGTTGCAATTAGCACTAGTTACAATCAGTTAAGTGTCCCGGTCGCACTCTAGTGTGATTGTAATTAGGTTATTGTCCTAGTTGCAACCGAAGGATGCGACTAGTTGCAACTGCTCGAATTTGTGACTAGATTAGTGCTCTAGTTGCAATTATGTGACATGTGCACGTCTTATGTGGTTGTAACCAGGTTATTGTCCTAGTTGCAACCGGAAGACGTGACATGTTGCAATTGTTTCCGGTTGTAACTTGATTATAGTCCCCAACAAAATTTCTTCTAGGCACACCCACAGCCAACCTAAACATCTGTCTATGAGCAAGCAGCTTTACAATCAATTTCATGCCAGCGTTGTCCGGTGCACAAGGAATGAAGGAACGTGAGCTGCTGAGCCAACCTGCCATAGTTTATTGAAAATGTTTCTGCTACCTGCTTGCTTGCTTGTTTACTGCACATGGGTTAGTGTGGTGGCAAGGAGTGGCGGCAATATTTTCTATTTTTCTTTCTTTGAAGGGAGTGGCAGAAATATATGGTGAAACTATATCAAAAATTGAGAAAGAAAATGCTAAAGCCAAACGATGCATTCGTACATTGAAGAGAACAAATCAATGAAAAGATCATGCGCATGCACATTGTGCATAGGCCCGTGGGATCAATTGCTTCTTTTTTTATTCCTTGATGAAGCAAACGGAAGTATAGTATAAGTAATAATGGGATGAAATAATTAATTAACAGCTTAGTGCAGGCATGGCAGCATGGCAGGACGACCAACATGTAATTGGTTGTAATCTATCTGTTCTGCGCATGGGCCACGAGGCCGTCCCTGACATGCAACGTAATTACGTTGTTGCAGACGTGCTTATAACTCACTATATAACTTAGCTGTAATTATATACTTTAAAAAAAATTCAACAAAGATAGTCTTTATGGATCTCATTTTGTTAAGTATATTTTTTTGAACAACCTACTTCAAACGGATTCAAAAACGGATCAGTGGTTTAGGAGATATCACATTTTTCGAATCGAATTAAGAAAAGATTCCATCCATGCATGCTGGATTGACCTGTGAGGTGGCGTCACGTGGTTGGTTGTGTCCATTTAATTTTGCATGCACGAGCGCATGATTGACAGAAAATATGGGGAGGGTCCGACGGACGTGCGTTGGCGCGTGGACTGCAGGGTTAGAGAAGGTCTGTGCACTCGTTGTATGGAATGCAACTGGCCTATCACACGAGTCGCAACTAGTCTGCCATCAGAGTTGCAATTTGTGTACGACTGAAGTTGCAATCGGCTGAAGGGCTGAGTTGGAACTGGTATACAAATGGAGCTACAACCAGCCGTCCAGGACAGTTGCAACTGGCCTACCACCAAGGTTTCAATTTGTGTACGACTGAAGTTGCAATCGGCTGAAGGGCTGAGTTGGGGCTGAGTTAGAATTGGTATACAAACGGTGATGCAACCAGCCATCCAGGGCAGTAGCAACTGGCCTACCCAACCGGAATGCAACTGGTCTACCACCAATGTTGCAATTTGTGTACGACGAAAGTTGTAATCGGTTGAAGGGATGAGTTGCAACTGGTATATAAACGGTGCTGCAACCAACCGACCAGTGCAGTCGCAACTGGCCTACCCAACTAGAATGCAACTAGCCTATCGCACGAGTCCTAACCAAGCAGCATGCATGCACCCGAGACAACCAATAGCTAATTTGCTACTTCTCACCACTCATGGTTAGCCAGGTGCAACAAATACAACAAGCAGCCAGCATGCATGCATGGATGGAAGATTTTGTGAGTTTGATTCTTTGAAATAAATTTTCTCCTAAACCGTAACCCCGATTAACAAACCGTTTGCTGCATCTTACTCAAAAAATGTGCTTAACAAAACTAGATCCAATATTGATATATTTTATTATTTTTATAAGGAGTTGCATCTCTGTGTGTTACTGATTGCAACTATGTAGCAATTGGGTTGCAACTATGTAGCAACTGGTATACAAACGGAGTTACAACCAGCCGTCCAGGGCAGTCGCAACTGGCCTACCCAACCAGATTCCAACCGGCCTATGCAGGACCCATCGGCACGCAATGCACAAAGCTTAGTTGGTACGTGCATGCAAGGTAGCAGGCAGAGCTAGCATGCGCTTCTTGGATGCTTGTCACTGGCTTGGCTCTCATTTAGTTTTGTTCATCGGCTCATCCATAGATTCTCGGTCGTCTCCAACTGTTGCCTGGTGTTGTAGTTGTACTTATCATAGAGATCAGATAGATTCCCTGCTCGCATGTTTGATCAATGCAGATGCGTGTGATGCCTGGCCTGCCTGCCAAGACTCACCGCATGCATTCCCAGTAGTGTTATTTGCTGCAAGCAACTCCCGTGTGTGCGTGCCTGACTGTTTTAGTTTTGTTTCCTTTTTTTCCTTTCAGTGAAGTTCTTTCTTTCTCTTTCTCTCACCCTATACATCATTTGTACGTGAAGTCCCTGAGGATGGCTCAATGCTTTGTCGAGTGGAAATAGAACTATCATTGACACACTTTCCTTGCTCCCTGCGGAAAATTTTCTTCTGAGCACACCCACAGCCAACCCAAACATCCGCCTATGAGCAAGCAGCTTTACAAGCAATTTTATGCCAGTGTCGTCCGGTGCACAAGGAATGAAGGAACGTGAGCTGCTGAACTAGCCTGAGACAGTTCATTTAAAATGTTTCTTCTACCTGCTTACTTGCTTGTTTACTGTACATGAGTTCATTGAAAATGTTTATGCTAAATAGGCTACAACCAAGTTGCAATTGTATTGCAGACATGCTTGCAACTCATTGTACAACTTAGTTGCAATTACATACTTTAAATTTTTTTAACAAATATAGCCTTCATGGATCTCATTTTGTTAAGCACATTTTTTGAAGAACCTACTTCAAACCGATTCAAAAACGGATTAGTGGTTTAGGAGATATCACATTTTTTCGAATCAAATCAAGAAAAGATTCCATCCATGCATGCTTCCTGGTAGGTGGGTGAAAGGTCCTAATATGGCTAGAGGGGGGGGGGTGAATAGCCTATTTAAAAATCTACAAACCGACTGGAGTAATTTGATTAGTATAACCAATAGTGAAATGCAAACTTGCTCTAGCTCAACAAGGGTTGCAAGCCACCTATCCAACAATTCTAGTTGCTATGATCACTAGATACACAATTTGCTATGTTACTACTCACTAAGAGCTCTCACACTTGCTACTCTAAAGAGCTCTACTAGATGAACTTAAAACAACAAAGCAAGCTCTCAAATCTAATTACACTAAAGAGCTTGCTACAACTAGTTTGTAAGAATATAAATGAGTGAGTAGGGTGATTATACCACCACGTAGAGCAGTGAACCAATCACAAGATGAGTGCTTAATCAATCACCGAGAGAATACCAAAGGGCAAGAGACAACCGATTTTCTCCCGAGGTTCACGTGCTTGCCAACACGCTACGTCCCCATTGTGTCGACCAACACTTGGTGGTTCGGCGGCTAAGAGGTGTTGCACAAACCTCGTCCACACAATTTGACACCGTAAGAACCTACCCACAAGTGAGGTAACTCAATGACACAAGAAATCCAATAGAGTTACCTTTCGGTTCTTCGCTGGGGAAGGTACAACTCCCCTCACAATCACCGGAGATGGCCACGAACAATCACCAACTCATGCCAATCCTCCTCCGCTGCACCAAGCCGTCTAGGTGGTGGCAACCACCAAGAGCAACAAGTGAATCCTAGAGCGAAACACGAATACCAAGTGCCTCTAGATGCAATCACTCAAGCAATGCACTTAGATTATCTCCCAATCTCACAAAGATAATGAATCAATGATGGAGATGAGTGGGAGGGCTTTGGCTAAGCTCACAAGTTTGCTATGTCAATGCAAATGGCCAAGAGTGAGCTTGAGCCGGCCATGGGGCTTAAATAAAAGTCCCCACAAAATAGAGCCGTTGTACCCCTTCACTGGGCACAACACGGGGTGACCGAACGTAGGACCCCAGCGTCCGGTCGCCCGATGCTTGCCACGTGTCATCGTCTTCAAACGCCGATCGCCCAATCACAACGGTCAAGTAATGACCGGATGCATCAGTTAGAAAGCGACCGGACGCTGGACCTCAGCGTCCGGTCGTTTCCAGTAAGGTTCCCAACGCGAGAAATCATGCTCAACCAGACTCACCCAGCGTCCGGTCACTCAAAGTCTCTTCTGTGCGCCCCATGTCAGCGTACGTCAGCATTGACCGGACGCACCCTGCCAGCGTCCGGTCACTTTTAGCGCCAACGTTTGGTCAAAGACTGAGACCGCACGCTCACTGCTGCCACTGACCGGACACGCCGGTCCAACCGAGACTAGCGTCCAGTCACTTACAGTGACCTTCGTCTTTTCTGTCTAGGGCGCCGGTGGCACCGTTGGACTGTCCACACTCTACGGGCGGACACTCCACCGGTGAAGTTTCCTACCCTTGCTCAAATGTGCTAACCACCAAGTGTATCACCTTGTGCACATGTGTTAGCATATTTTCACAAACATTTTCAAGGGTGTTAGCACTCCATTAGATCCTAAATGCATATGCAATGAGTTAGAGCATCTAG